CTACTGAAAACTCAATAGGTACATTCTTTTCAGCATTAGCCTTGCTCTGCCATAAAAGCATGCAACTAATCCTGTTCAAGCAGGAAATTTAATGGCTTAAAGTTGAAGAGTGGTGATAGGAAAATCATTCCTATGCCTTCCTAATATGGTGGGGGCCAGGTTAGAAGTGCAGAGGAATAATATTCTGCTTTGAACTAAATTCTCTTCAGAGATTACTTGTACTGGATGTCCTATGCGCTTTAGAGACACGCGTTAGAGGTTTTGATTGTGATTTCCTCCATCTGTTAGCCTGTGAATCAATATTATCCAAATGAAAGATTTTATCACTTTTTGTCAGTGGATATTAATATTATTTAGGAGCAAATTTTGTTTTCCCAGAATTCTAATTAAATAAATCACAGATAATCTATTTTCCTTGCTTGCTACTAGAATAATGTTTATTTCCTTTAAATAATTGCTAATAAAAGTTCACATTTCTTTGCAATTTTATAGTCATTTAGAATTGCCAGTAGACCCAGCACCAATACTCAGCATTGCTGACAACCTGCTGATGGGCCATATAATTGCTCATTGCACCATTTTGCATTACCAAACTATGTCAATGTCACCCTGTCCCTCTGCCTAATTTTCTGATGCCTTCAGAAACTCTCATATAGTGTAACTGCTTGGTGGCACTGACATTCACTGTGTCATGTTTTTTACAATGGGATGTGGAAACTGCCGCGCACCCCCAGGGCCCTCAGCAGTCTTACAGTCCCATTTATTATTACATTGTTATGTAGTAATAATGCCTGGGGACATTTTTTCCATAGTTTGAGCCTATCTTAGGGCCCTCCCACAGTCACAAGTTTTAAATTTAAAAAATAATAAATTACAGCCACTAGAGGTCCCAGGGTGGGCTATTAGTCCTTTAAAATCCTATTTTATAAGAATTGTTTGTTTGTTTCTATGTAGGGCTTGTTGGAGCTAGTGCAACCCTCCAAAGTCTGAGGATGGGCCTCAGTGGCCCCTGAACCTTTGAAGTGCCCGTCCCTATTCTAAAAGGACCAGATACATTTAGCTTTTCCCTGTGGTATGCCACTGCCATTCCCCTCAAATGCACTCTGCAGTATTGGCATCAGGCACAAGTGTTCATGAGGAGGATTCTTAGGTAGCTGGTGTCCATGACAGAATGTAGTCCCATTTTGTAAATGGTTCTCTCCAAGCACGGAGCTCCAGCAAGGAGGGATTGCTGAAAATAAAAGGCAGCAAAATTGGGTGGAATCCTGATGGTGAGACAAGCATTGTTGGCAACAGCAGACCACAGATAAGAGGTTGATATCTTAAGCAGTACAATGCAGAGGATCCACCGAAATCTGCCAGTAACCTAGACAGCTGATGCCTAAAGGTGATGAAGAAAGGTTCATTTGGTTTTGTTTTAGAAACATATTCTCAGAAATTGATGTGTATACTTAAAGGTAAAGGTTCACCTTGACATTTTTAGTCCAGTCGTGTCTGACTCTAGGGGGTGGTGCTCATCCCGTTTTCAAATGTTTGTCCATAGACAGTTTCCGTTGCCACGTGGCCAGCATGTCTAGGGAACACCGTTTTACCTTCCCACCGAGGTGGTACCTATTTATCTACTCGCATTTGCATGCTTTCGAACTGCTAGGTTGGCAAGGAGCTGGGACAAAGCTACGGGAGCTGACTCCATTGCGTGGATTCGATCTTATGACTGCTGGTCTTCTGACCCTGCAGCACAGGCTTCTGCGGTTTAGCCCACAGCGCCACCACACCCCTATAGGTGTATACTTAGAGCAGTGCAATTTTCATAGATGGGTAAGAGGTGGTTTTTTGTGTGTGCTGTATTTACCCCCAGTGCATGTAAATGAATCCTGTGCTCTAGTTAAAATCTTTAAGTTTGACTGAAATCTGAAAACATTCCTTTTCCCTCTATGATGTTACATATATTCTGCTGTTTCTTAACAGAAGGACAGAAGGAAACATCAAAATGTGCAATAACCTCTATTTTATTTAATTATTCATTGGCTGGTTTTTCCACAATTATCTTGCATTTCCACTTGCAGACTTTTCTGTGCAACTTCTATGCAAATGACAAGAGAGAATGTCAATTAGTTTGTTAAAGTTTCACATAATAACAGTTATTCTGGATGAATATATAGAGCTTGATTATGATGACTTCAACGATGTCTTCCAGAGAACGCTGCAGTTGAGAGTGTAATGGATAATATTCAAAGAAATCTTCAATTTTTTCTATATGGTTTGGGATTCCTAATACTCCTGTGAATAGCACAAGATGGAGCAGTGGGAATTCTTTGAAACAGAAATATTTGGCACTATGTTTCTGAACTGCAGATATTTGCTCAAATCCTGTGCAGCGTTTTCCCAGTTGATCCTGGTAAATATGATGAGATCTTTGGTAAATAGCCCAGAGTGGCCCTGGCTGCCAGATGGACAGTATATAACAACAACAACAACAACAACAACAACAACAACAGTTATTGTTATTGTTTAAGAGCAGTGCTTTTTGGCTAGGCATGGGCAACCTGTGGCCGTCCAGATGTTGTTGGACTCCAATTCTCACAATTTCCTTAGCATTGGTTTTCTTGGCTAGGGCTAATGGAAGCTTTTGTCCACCAATATCTAAGGTCATCTTATCCTGAACAGGGAAATTGACAATTGCTCTTCTTGGTTGTTATCACTGATTTGGGCAGTGTATTGTATTTGCTCTTGTACACATTTAGAAATAAAGCAAAAATAAATATTAACATATTAACATTTTATATGCAAAGAAACTGCCAAGCCCACAGAGAAGAAAAGTGGGAGATAGCAGATACCAGTTTCTATGTATATGATACCTTGACATAGAATGCTATTTTCTGCATGGTCAGGAGACAAAAGAAAGCCCAGGGAAGAAAAAAAATAGAATGCTATTTTCTGCGGTTCTGTTGTTGCATTCTTTGCTTGAGAAAGGCCAATAAACCTACTCTTGAATTCTCACTTAGTCATTTGTGTTGTGCCTTTATCTTACGCTGCAAAGCAAGTTGTGCTGGAGGCAAACTGGGCTTTCCACTTTCCTGGAAGAGGCAGACAACCACTTCACATGAATGGACTCACATTGTAAGCTGCCTGATATAAACAAGCATTGGGACTGAGTTTAAACTCCCTCGTTGGCTTCGTTTGACATTATCCAGATGGTAACCCTCTGGCAAAGATTCTGCATTGGGGCTGGGATATATGATGGTAGTTGGTGTGGGAATACAAATAACAGCTTTCATGCAAGTTTGGGCAGGAGACAGAATGTTGGTGGGCCCAGGGCTTTCTTACTTCAAGATATTTTCTGGCAAGGAGAATATCGTATAGATGTCAGAGACATGCTTCCTTCATAGAATAGCAGTAGGTGTCTGCTAGCGTAGATGTCACTTCAAAGATTCAATCCACTTTTTCCTTTCCTGGAGTGGTGCTTAAAATATAAAGAACAGCAGAAAGGATCATTTCATTCATCCAAAATCTATATTAGAATACTACCTTCCTTGTCCCGGTCTAATGGTGTATTTTTCTTGTTCAGAAGTTTGGCCATATGTTGTGCCCTAGGCTGGCTTATCAAAGGTGTTACATCAATATCGATTTTTTTAATATGGAATTTTTCTTACAACTAACATCAAAACTGTCTCCGGCTTTATTCTTGCATGTCTCAAAATTGTGTGTGTGTGTGGGGGGGGTTGTGTCCAGTCTTGGTTCTGGTTTGTTTTTGGTATGAGACTTTTAATGACATTTGTGAAGGAGGTGATGAAGTCCATACTTAATCTAATCTACCACTTTTCTGTGTCTGAAATTACCGGAATTACTGTATAAATCTTGATGAAGAAAGTAAGGTTTACTTTCAAGTAGACTAGCAGTGCACAATCAGCTGCCCTTTGCTGGTCCCCTTTGATCTCCCAAAGCTAACAGAACCCCACCCACATTTCCCCGCAGCACAGCTGATCAAACATATGAAAAGCTGGATGATCCGCTAATCCACTGGGCACATCATTAGCACATTTGCTCAGTGGGGGGGGGAGTCATGTTGCTCCCTGATTTCTGATTTTGCCTAGTAGTATCAGGTAAACAACTCTATGTGTGGCGATTACTGTAGATACGGTGTTGGTGAGCATGTGTCAGTTTGTGCATGCATTCACACCTCTGAGGGTATATATACAAACTGTATATGACCCTGAGGGGGGTGAAAAGCCTGTATGTCCCTGAAATGGAAAGGACTTAGAATTCGATATTTCCCTGCACCTCACTTGTTTGTCATGTTGGGTTTCTTCTTGCAGTTTAGATAGAAGTGTTGGACTCTTCATTTTTCCCATTTTGGCATCCCAAGAAAATGTTTTCTATGTTTTCAATCTCAGAATTCTATTTCTGTTTCATTATATGCATTTATATCAATGACTCTCTTACTGTTTTCAGTCATACACCCATTCAGTTTCTTCTGTATTATGGGAAAGGACAGAACATTGCATATAAAGTTTTGCATATGGATGTCCATGTGTATTAGTTTAGGAAATTATATGTAGCGAGAGCCCATAATTCTAGGAGGGAACCATTAGAGACAAGCTAAAGACGAGTGTTGGGCAGAATTTAAAACAGTTACTCTTTTGAACTAAAATTCCTAGTGTCTCTTAGTCAATGTGACCATTGGCTATGCTAATTGAAAGATTTCATTAGTCTCATATATATATGGGTTGTATCAGCACTAAACGATTTTTTCTTTTTTCTTTTTAGAAAAAATATATATATCTCACATATATATCTCATATATATGTGAGATATATATTAACAAACAAAATATACTAGGAGAGATTCAAGCTGCTGTTGAAAACTGCTGCAGATGTTTTCTAAAAAGAAAAAGGAAAAAAATCATTTAGTGCTGATACAACCCTAACATCAATTTTCTGCTTCTGTCTTATTATTTCATCACATGTGTTCATCTCTATAATGTATTTCTTTCCCTCTAGCTCCTCAGAGGAACTTTGAAATTGCTTTCAAGATGTTTGATCTAAATGGGGATGGAGAAGTAGATATGGAAGAATTCGAACAGGCAAGTCTTTTTACCCCCTTCCCCAGAGGCTTATCATGTGAGAAGATAATTTTTCACAGTTACTCTGTTTTCTTGTTTTACTGGCATTTATGGGCAACATTCTGCCTTTAAGAGTATATACCGTAATTCATCTGTAAAGTCATGGCTGCATGACTTCTGAGTTTTAAAGGATTTTCAAGTGAAAATCAGACACATGCATCACATATTGGTGGTTTGTCTTATAGTTGAGTGCCAATCTTTTTTAAACATTTTTTTAGATTTTTGTCCCTTTTATGGTCATTTTGCTGTAATTTGCGGATTCTTTGGCTGAAAGAATCAAGGAAATAATCTGCAGACTGCTTGATCACATGGGTAGAAAGGAGGAATAATTTTTCACGGCCCCCCCACTGCATTGTCTTTTGTGTCCTAAAAAATTCTAAGATTGGTGGAATCACCAGGAATTGTATGAGATGGCACAAGGAGTGTACAGGGGAAGAAAGACTCAACAACTTGCTGTCTTCCTCGGGTAGGACTGTATTTTTGGTAGGAGTGTAATTACTGTACCTCTGTACCACTTCATCTGCTGTGACTCCATTTTAAGGAGTACTTGAATATATATTTTGATGATGTACTTAGAACTGTCTGCTGTAATTCAGGGGAATGCACTCACCTTCTCTAGTGCAGAATTTTTAGTATTACACCAAACTACAAATCCTAGGATTCTGTAGGGTGGAGCCATGGCAGTTAAAGTGCTGTGGTTCTAATACAACTTACATAGTGCAAATGCACTCTAGGGAGCCTTTGCAAGATTCGCTTCCTTCTAGGAGTGGAAGAAGTCTTTCTGATCACAGAGGGAACATTTTACATCCAACCTGTAGACTTTTCCCATGTCTCAGCTATTCCTATCCAGTGGCTGAAATCCTGTTGCAAGAGAATAGGCCAAATGTATCAGTGGAACTTGTGAAGAAGTTGACTCACCAAATCCCCAGTGATTCAGTGGACCTACTCTACTGTGACTTACTACTCTAGGCCAAAGGATTTCAGCCACTGGGTAGTTCTTTTTTGTGTACATTTCTTACACAGAATCATGAGCACTTAAAGTACATCTGTTCACCTGGGCATTCTTCTCACAAGAATACTTGCCATAGACATCTGGGTGGGGAAAGTTATCCATTGATACAAAAGGTGGTTATTTGAAGTAGCCCTGGAAGCCATTTATAAGGTATAAATGACTGTATCATAAATTATATCGTATCCTAGTTAAAAGTGTCCGGCACAATTTTTTAGTCAGATATTTTTCTCAGTTATATTTGTATTTTGAAATAAAATAATTTCCTATAATGCAGCTTCCAAAAGAGTTGTGTTCACCTCAGTTGATGCTTTTAGCTTAGGATTTCTATTTACTTTCTTTCTGAAAATCTTCAGTTTCTATGGGTCTTACGGTATGTTTACAAAACAGGCAGGCAGAGTGGATTAGAGGATATATATATCTCCAAGGGATCAATTCCCTCTCCTCAAACAAAGGACTTTTAAAAAAATATATCCTTTAATATATATATTAAACTCCTTTATATATAAAGGGGTCCTCACCATATGAGTTTTCTGTTAGAGAGAATGATTGTTCAAGTAGTGTCAAAATACCCTATTTTCCTGAAAATAATCCCTAACCTGAAAATAAGCCCTAGTATGATTTTTCAGGATGCTCGTAATATAAGCCTACCCCCCAAATATGCCCCAGTTAAGTGAAAGCCTGCCATCCACAATTGTGTAGCATTGTGCAGCAACCAGAAGAAGATGACATGACTGTAAAATAAAGCATCCCCTGAAAATAAGCCCTAATGTGTTTTTGAAGTAAAAATTAATATAAGACCCTGTCTTATTTTTGGGGAAGCACAGTACCTAGCAGGCAGAAAAGCTTCACCACTTTCTAATGACATGGCAGGTTGCCAACAAAACTAGTCTTTGCTCCTTTTTTTACATGTTGTAGAATCTAATTTGCTTTGTTTTCAGTTTGAAAACTTGCAATTTCACTTAAACTGCTGTTTCCCATGGAAAAATGTATTAACCCCTCTGAACCTCATAAAATACTTTTAGAGTTTGATTTTTTTTTAAAAAAATCTACGGAGTCTGAACTGCAAGGTAGGGAGAGGAAGTAAACACATATTTAGAGAAAGGAAAGCATTGAAGCTGGCTGTGTGACAAGACAAAAAAGTGTAATCGAAAGGAAGAGATTTGTAAAGGAAGAAATTAAGTGCTTAATGATTATCTGAATTGTAATTGAAATATACAGGCAAGAAACAATATTATATTTTAGTACTGTATTTATAATGTATGAAGATTTGCAATCCGGTGGATTCTAGTTTTGAAAAATAGCTAGCAAATTTTTTGGAGTGAGCTCCAAAAATATTATAGCAAAATTAAATCGCAGCATGGTTGAGAAGGTTTTTTTTTTAACAGACATTAGAACTTGAAAATACCTGACTATCCTTCTCCAAATTTGGCACTGAGCAAGCCCATTCTATCCACTGTCACTCTGTCAAGTGTGGTGCTGGTTCAACGACTTGTAATGTCTCGTGGAGTTCTCCTGTCCACCTCTTAATATCCATGGTAGCTGATGCAACAATTAAGAGTCCCTTAACAGAATACGGTATTTAGTATCCTCATCTGGACTTGACTCTCACTACAATGGGGATAAATATATAGCACATGTGTTTGTACTCCTTGCATCTAAAGAAGTGGATTTTGATCTGCAAAAGATCACAATGAAATAAATCTGTTACTCTGAAGTGCTGCAGTATTTTACCATTTTGTCCTGCCCCATGCCCCACTTTATTTTTGCCAACATGTTTAATAGCTTAACTTTACAAATGTAAATTTATTGTTCTTGGACAACAGCTAGAGGAAACCTTTTTTTCCCCACCAAGGGAATTACAAAAGTGCCATTAAGCCAGTGTTTGTTTTTAAAAGGAAAAATGCAGATTGGGTAGTTTGTCTCTAATAGTAGGTAGGCAAATCTGTGCTTTTATTGATCTCTGATGCTCACAATATATTATCCTAATCCTCCCAACCAGTTGGTTTACATTTAGCTATTAAAAGATGTCCTTCAAGGTTGTCTCATTTTCCTCCCTCATAGGAAGATTACAGTTTAATGCATCTTCCTAATGAATATTAACTTCTTGGCACTTGCTAGCTCTCTGACCACTTTAGAAGGTTGTATTTTCCATTGTCTCCTTCATGGATTGCTGCCTTGTTGTGGCAAAGGGGCTTGAGTAACTCAGAGAAGCTATGGGCTATGCCATGTAGGGACACCCAAGATGGACAGGTCATAGTGGAGAGTTCCGACTAAACGCAATCCACCTGGAGTAGGAACTGGCAATGCCACTCCAGTATCTTTGCCAAGAATGCCCCATGATCAGAAACAAAAGGCTAAAAGATATGACGCTAGAAGATGGGCCCCTCAGGTCGAAAGGCGTCCAACATGCTACTGAGGAAGAGCGGAGGATAAGTACAAGTAGCTCCAAAGCTAATGAAGTGGTTGGATCAAAGCCAAAAGGACGCTTAGCTGTGGACGTGCCTGGAAGTGAAAGGAAAGTCCAATGCTGCAAAGAAAAATACTGCATAGGAACCTGGAATGTAAGATCTATGAACGTTGGGAAGCTGGAGGTGGTCAAACAGGAGATGGCAAGAATAAACATCGACATCCTGGGCATCAGTGAACTAAAATGGACAGGAATGGGCGAATTCAACTCAGATGATTATCATATCTACTATTCCGGGCAAGAATTCCATAGAAGGAATGGAGTAGCCCTCATAGTCAACAAAAGAGTGAGAAAAGCTGTAATGGGATACAATCTCAAAAATGATAGAATGATGTCAATACAAATCCAAGGCAGACCTTTCAACATCACAATAATCCAAGTTTATGCACCAACCAGCATTGCTGAGGAGACTGAAATTGAACAATTCTATGAAGATTTACAACACCTTCTAGAACTGACACCAAAGAAAGATGTTCTTCTCATTCTAGGGGATTGGAATGCTAAAGTAGGGAGTCAAGAGATAAAAGGAACAACAGGAAAGTTTGGCCTTGGAGTTCCCAACGAAGCAGGGCAAAGGCTAATAGAGTTTTGTCAAGGGAACAAGCTGGTTATCACAAACACTCTTTTCCAACAACACAAGAGGCGACTCTATACATGGAAATCACCAGATGGGCAATATCGAAATCAGATTGATTATATTCTCTGCAGCCAAAGATGGAGAAGCTCTATACAGTCAGCAAAAACAAGACCTGGAGCTGACTGCGGTTCTGATCATCAGCTTCTCATAGCAAAATGCAAGCTTAGACTGAAGAGATTAGGAAAAACCACTGGGCCACTCAGGTATAATCTAAACCAAATCCCTTATGAATACACAGTGGAAGTAAAGAACAGATTTAAGGAACTAGATTTGGTGGACAGAATGCCTGAAGAACTTTGGATAGAGGCTCGTAACATTGTCCAGGAGGCAGCAACGAAAACCATCCCAAAGAAAAGGAAATGCAAGAAAGCAAAGTGGCTGTCCAACGAGGCCTTAGAAATAGCAGAGAGGAGAAGGGAAGCAAAATGCAAGGGAGATAGGGAAAGTTACAGAAACTTGAATGCAGACTTCCAAAGAATAGCAAGGAGAGACAAGAGGGCCTTCTTAAATGAACAATGCAAAGAAATAGAGGAAGATAACAGAAAAGGAAAGACCAGAGAGCTGTTCAGGAAAATTGGAGATATTAGAGGAACATTTTGCGCAAAGATGAACATGATAAAAGACAAAAATGGGAAGGACCTAACAGAAGCAGAAGACGTCAAGAAGAGGTGGCAAGAATACACAGAGGAATTATATCAGAAAGATGTGGATATCCCGGACAACCCAGACAATGTAGTTGCTGACCTTGAGCCAGACATCCTGGAGAGCGAAGTCAAGTGGGCCTTAGAAAGCCTGGCTAACAACAAGGCCAGTGGAGGTGATGGCATTCCAATTGAACTATTTAAAATCTTGAAAGATGATGCTGTTAAGGTGCTACATTCAATATGCCAGCAAGTTTGGAAAACTCAACAGTGGCCAGAGGATTGGAAAAGATCAGTCTACATCCCAATCCCAAAGAAAGGCAGTGCCAAAGAATGCTCCAACTACCGTACAATTGCACTCATTTCACACGCTAGCAAGGTTATGCTCAAAATCCTACAAGGTAGGCTTCAGCAGTATGTGGACCGAGAACTCCCAGAAGTACAAGCTGGATTCCGAAGAGGCAGAGGAACTCGAGACCAAATTGCTAACTTGCGCTGGATTATGGAGAAAGCCAGAGAGTTCCAGAAAAATATCTACTTCTGCTTCATTGACTATGCAAAAGCCTTTGACTGTGTGGACCACAGCAAACTATGGCAAGTTCTTAAAGAAATGGGAGTGCCTGACCACCTTATCCATCTCCTGAGAAACCTATATGTGGGACAGGAAGCAACAGTTAGAACTGGTCATGGAACAACTGAGTGGTTCAAAATTGGGAAAGGAGTACGGCAAGGCTGTATATTGTCCCCCAGCTTATTTAACTTATATGCAGAATACATCATGCGGAAGGCTGGACTGGAAGAAACCCAAGCCGGAATTAAGATTGCCGGAAGAAATATCAACAACCTCCGATATGCAGATGATACCACTCTGATGGCAGAAAGTGAGGAGGAATTAAAGAACCTTGTAATGAGAGTGAAAGAGGAAAGTGCAAAAAACGGTCTGAAACTCAACATCAAAAAAACTAAGATCATGGCCACTGGTCCCATCACCTCCTGGGAAATAGAAGGGGAAGATATGGAGGCAGTGTCAAATTTTATCTTCCTGGGCTCCATGATCACTGCAGATGGAGACAGCAGCCCTGAAATTAAAAGACGCCTTCTTCTTGGGAGGAAAGCGATGACAAATCTGGACAGCATCGTGAAAAGCAGAGAC